ATTTACATTATAATCACTTTATAATAACATATACTTTATAATAACTTTGATCAATACATTTTTAAAACATCTTTGATTTATTAAGAATATTACATTATGCATTATAAGTCAAGGGACATGCCAAATATTCTTTTTTTTTTAGTTCATCTTTTCATTCAAATTATGCTGAAAATATTTTTAATGAAAAATGTATTTAATTATAAAAAAAATGCAAATAATAAATAGATCCGAAATAGATGTTATTGTTTCCTGTAGCATTCAAACTTGCAAAGAAAGAATGAAAAATATATATTTAGACTGAAATGTACAGCTACTACTCTATTAAGCAGCATATGGTGTTTGATAATGACTTAGTTATTAGAAAGCATCACCCTATTACCATTTCCATTTTCGTTTGCAGTCTGTCTGTCATGCTCCCCAAGTCAAATACTCTCACACACGGTAGTCGAAGACAAGCTTTTACTTCTGGTCAGCTTGAAAACAGGGTAGCTCCTTGTTTCCGACGCAAATCTCCTGGATGAGCCAGAGTTGCGCTGCTGGATTTTAGACGCAGAATTTCTAATTGAAGATTTATTGGTCAGGCTCAAGACAGATGACATCTTCTCTCTGTAGCTTTCTCTGAACCTTTTGGCCGATCTGTACAAGTTTCCGACAAAGCAGTAGCAGAGGGGATTGAGGGATGAGTTGGTGAGACCCAGCCATTGCGCAAAAGGTCTGCTCTGGAGAATCCAGTGATGCTCAACGTTGCTCAGCTCATCGTTTCGATCAGGAGAGCTGGGGATGTTGGAATCGATCCAGATGTCCACGGCGTAGAGTGGCAGCCAGGAGAAGGTGAAAAGTAGCACGAGCGCAAAGACCATTTTGGCGATCCTCTTGCGCGTTTTCAGGCGCGATGTTGAAGAGGTCAGCGCGAGCTGGTTGGGATCTGATATTGATGCTGTGCCTCCTCTACTCAACTTCCAACCGGTCAGGAAGCAAATGATCAGGTTAAAGACCACCGGGAATCCATACAACGCGCAGAAGAGTAAAAAGTTGTAACCCTGGCGCAGTTTGACTTTAGACCAGCTTTCCACGCACACGGTCACTGTATGCAGCCCGTCTAGAAGGGAAAGCGTCTTAGTTGTGTTCATGAAAAATAACGGCAAACATAGTGCAGAAGACACGACCCACACCACAGCTATCATGCAAATCATTCTGCTGGCCGTGAAGAAAGATCTGGCGTGCAGTGGGCTGTGGACGCTGTAGTATCTGTTCAAACTG